TCGCCTGTGTGCCACAAGGCGTGTGTCGCTGTGTGACCTTTTGTACCAAGCCCTTCTCGGAATGGACAACTCGCTTGCTGCCATCCGACTTCTTAACTGCCTTGATGGAAGGGAGTGACTTCAGAGACATTCTAACTCTGCAGGTGTTCTAGGGGCAGTGGAAACACCTCCCACACAGGGGAAGGGGATTTCCTTTGCACCATGCCTGCAGGCCTAAATGAATGCTTGGGGGAGAGACACACATGAATAATTTTGCCCCACTTTTTGTTACCTCTCTGACACACGGCTGCACTTGTTCAAGAAAATTCCAAGAAGGACACTGCCTCAAATTGGGCAGCCCTGGTCCCCTCACTTAGGCCCCTCCAGCAAAACTGAAAATGCAGCTCCAAAAACAAAGACTTCCAAACTCTGGTGCGCACTAGAATTATCCAGAGAGCTTTTGAAAACCCCAGCTCCCAGCTCACACACTGTACCAACTGAACCAGAATGGCTGGGGTGGATGGAAGTCAGGCCTTTTAAAAATCCGCACGGGATCTCAGTGTGCAGCAAAGTTTGGAAACCGCTCTTTTAACATCTTGACAGCTGCCTGTGCTCATCAGCTTTGCACTCTCCACCAGCTGGGCTCTTATTTTGTAAATTTCTGATTTCTTTAAAATCTTGCATTTCCACTTAAATTAGTCGAGCACCTAACTGCGAAGCTCTGCAAGCTGCTTGAGTCTGTCACTGCAGAGCGCCCTAGAGGGTGGTGGTGCAGTTGGCAACGACACCCCTGGGGCTTCCCCTCCTGACGGAGGTCAGGGAGCTGGGCGCGGCCTGGGCGGGCGGCGTGGCTCGGGGTGCGGTGGGCTCCCCTGCCCTTCAGCTGCCTTATTTCTTAGCCTCCTGAGTTCCGTTCACTTGTTCACCCTGCCGCCCTGGCTGTATGCTGCCTTCACTTTGTCGGCATCAGCTGTCCCCGTTGTCGTCACCCATAGAGTCTTAGAACGACACACTGGTAAGGAGCATGAGGGCTCATGGGGGCAATTCCCACCTGGTTCCTGAGTTTCCCTCTACCATTCGGACACCAGCACACAGTCAGGCCTCGAAGGCCCCACGGGGCTGCAGTAGGCGCCGTTCGCTCCCTGTGTTCCCACCAGACACTGCACTGCCCCCCACGTGCTTGAGGCTGGTAGGGCTACCCGCTTTTGTAGCGGAGGCGTTGTGACATCCGAGGGAATATGCCGTCCATCCAGATCTGAGAGCAGATGGGCAGCGTTGTGAGGTGAGAAGCAGCCCCGCCCTCCTCTCCGCCATCTGCCTGTCACCTGACCCGGTAGAGAGCAGCCCTCCCGAAGCGCCTTACGTCGAAATTCACGCCTCGTGGTGACAGCCCCTGGAGCTTGCCTTCGTCCTCGGCTTATTGGACGTGGAGAAGGGCACACAGCTGTGTGCCCGCACATACTGGAGTGGGCATCCGGAGTTGGGTGTGGGGCGCAGGTCTGCTGTTTTGTAAAGAACACCTTCGTTAGGGAACAGGCTCAGCAGTGAATCGTGTGTGTAAAATACGAGGGAATTCAAACAATAAGAAACCACAGACCTGAAATCTGTTTCTTCAGTGCTGGAGGAGAGCCGTTACCTACATACACCCCCTCCCATCCCCACCCCCTGTCCGGCAGCCCCATTTCCAGACCTCACACACGACAAAACCGTTAGACTGCGTCCCCCCTATATTTTTGTGTTTGGGTGCTGGGGACCATGACTATTTCACAGATCATCACTTTTATTTTCTGTCTTCCCTCTCTTTTAACTCTTTCCTTAGCTCTGCAAATATCCCAGGATACACTGGGAAGGTTCATTTCACAGCCACCCACCCAGCAAATTCTGATCACCCAGCAACAGCTCCCTCGCCAGGCTCGGACGTGCTCGGGTACGTAGGAGCCCTATTATTCAAGGCGCTCAGAAACACTGGGGGCGGGGGCTCTAATTATGCTCCCCCATTAAAGAACAATTAAATACTAGCAGTCAATCTACATTGTTTAAAAAATGGGGTGTCAAGTCCAAAAAGATGGAAGGCTTCATTGTCCCGCTGTTGTTGCCAAAGGAGCATGTTAAGATAGTCAGAGCATACTGGGTGAACAGTGTCTTCGCCTCTTGGGCTCACAGCTTTGCACACACATCGTCCTTCCACGTTACTATCACAACACGCGTGGGAGCGTGGAGCACGCCGCACGAGACACGCATTTGCTTCTTGCGAATAACCTGGTTTTTCACAAAAGGCAACATTCTGTTGAAAGCCATGTATATTTTTGAACGCCACTTGCAGACTGCAAACAGGAGACATTAATGGAAGGTTATTGCAGCCTCCGTTATTTGAAGCTGCTGGTGTTGTTTATTGTCACTCCATCTTGAAAGCATTTGATGGACATGTTGGCCTTGCAAATACGATGACACCGTTTTGAAAGTGCAGGTGCAGCCTTCACCAGGTCCAGATGCTGGCCGTGCGAACAAACAGGCTGTCCCGGCAGGTCAGGTGTGCCTGCAGCTCTCCCCAAAGGCACCTTGTCTCATTTGATCGAGACTCTGTTCATTTGGCCAATGTTTACTGAGTGTTCACTCTGGGCTAGGTGAATATTTTGTATTCAATCTATTTCCTCTCAAGACACATTTTCAAATGTCACAAATCCATTTCCAAAGGCAGGGCTGGTAGAAATTTAGACAATTAATGTCTAACGTCACAACTAAATCCTTGCTCATATCTGTCACTTAGACCTACTGTCCAGAAAACGCCTGGATGATACTGTCTGGATGGTTAATGGCTGAGGAGGGACCCACCCAAGGATGTTTTCTCAGAGCAAACGCACACATTTCTGATCTCTTGCTTTTTTCATTCACAATCCATCTTCTCACCCCAAATATCTCAGACCTCATCCCTGACATCCTGTTGGTCTAACATGTTCCCATAGCCGTGTGACCTAGCTATGCAATGTTCCTAATGTATTTCAGAGAAATCTTTATTTCTAACTGGAAAACTATCCTCCACTGTTACTGCTCCTGTTACTACTGTTACTGCTATTGCTGCTGTTGCTTCTGTTACTACTGTTACCGCTAATTACTACTTTTGCTGCTGTTACTACTGATATTACTACTACTGTTATTACTGTTACTACTATTATTACTACCTTTGTTACTATTGCTGATGTTTCTACTGTCACTACTGTTACTACTACCTTTGTTACTATTGCTGATGTTTCTACTGTCACTACTACCTTTGTTACTATTACTACTGTTACTACTTGAGACAAGAACTTGGGTCTTTTGCCTGCATGCTCACATACAGATTCAGGCCCATTACTGACACCTGAGTAGCCGCCTCCCCCACCACCCCAAAAACACACTACATGCACAGCTATCACCTGCTGCCCAGAGTTGGGACTGAGAACCCTCTGAGGCAGTTTCTCTGGGGTTCTTGTTCTTGGGATTCACATAGGCTCTGAAAAGACAGACAAAGGCAGCAACCCAAGCGTCACCCACAGCTAAGTGGTAGCCTCGTGCTGGGCCAGGCGCCCAGATCTCCGCCGCTCCGTGGACCCCCAGCAATGGCTCCTGCTGAGTGCTGGGGCTGTGCAGTGAGGCAGCACAGTGAGGCATTTCGATTTTCGAAAGCCCGCTGCTGACGTGAGAACGGCCGCTGCAGCAGGAAGGCCTGTGGTCTGCATCCACCCTGGCCCTGCCATCAGAGAAAACCCAGCCTTTGGGGTTCTCTGTAGCGAAGTGTGGCCCCTGACTTTTTGTGACTCTCTATTTGATGTTTTTCTGCTAAAATTTCCAGTGAAGGTGGGACTCTAGGTCTCTCTGAGGAGTAAGCGCCATGAGAACTCAGTGAGCCGACTTCCTCCCGGTGGTGTCTGCCCGAGCGGCTGCGTTTTTCCTGTTATTTCTAAGAAGCTGGCTGTGCAGCGCATGCCCTGGGCACCCCTGAACACCAGGGAGCCTCTGGCAGGCACCCCCTTCCATTAACAGCCGATCCCATTCCCTGGGGGTCCACGCCGCTTCTCTGTGCCCGCGCCCACCTCCTCCCCCAGGCCCCTCTCCACTGAGGGGCTCACCTCTGTTACCGGGCAGCCAAGCTGCTCCAGGGGACCCTGCCCTCCCCTCCCCCACATCAGAACCACCGCGTCCACCAGCACTGCTCCCTGTGCCCCCAAGGACACGTCCTCGCTTTCCTAACAGGCTGGACCTTCCCCTGAATCAAGCCTGCTCCCCCCTGCTTAGGAAGACACCCAGCCGCCCGCTACTGTAGGACCCACACGTGTGCCCGCTGAGCTGCCGTCCATTTCTCTCCCCTCCATCCTTTCACTTCTTCAAAAGCAAACAAGCACTTGCTCTTCTCTCACGGCCTCCACGGCCTCCCAGCCACTCTCTCCTCAGACGCCTGGGTCTGAATTCTGACGCCACCAGTCAAATGAAACGCTGCGACTTGCAGAAGGTCGACTGAAAAGACCACGGGGAGAGAAGGGCGGCCACAGGCCCTCCTCCGGGGGCAGCGCACTGGGCACGGCCCCTGTGGTTGTCAGGCGGCAGTGGGGGCTTGGGGTGAAGTAGCTTCGGCCCTGAATGTCATTGCCAAGGGGTTGGGGGCCACATGATCCCCATAACATGTTTTGAGTGAGGTGCACAGGACACCAGCAGTGCCTTAGGATGGATACTGAGCTGCAGAATAGCAAGGAAAGAGATTGTTGGAAGAGAGTTGAACTGAGACGGGGGGTGCAGGGGGCGGGTCAGAGGCGCTGCTCCGGACTCCTGACTCCCCCGCATCCCTGGGTTCCCTGACCCTTCATTCCCTCACACCAGAACGCAGCCTTCGCCTAAGCCCAAGTCCTCACCTCAATGGCCACTGCCCACAGCAACATTAAAAACAGGTATATATATATATGGGGCCGGCCGAGAGGCGCGTTGGTTAAGAGCTGGCTTGGGACACCAGCTCTGAACAGCAGGGCCCCAGTTCGGATCCCACATGAGGGCCAGTGATGCTGCGCCCTCTACAGCTAAGATGGTGAACAACAGCTCGACCTGGAGCTGGGCTGCCGTGAGTCGCCGGCAACGGGGTAGGCTGCAGCCCCTGCTGCAGTGGGCTGCCGTGAGCTACCATGAGTGGCCAGCAGCTGCCGTGAGCGGCCATCCAGAGGCCAGTGGCCGATCTGCCTCACCTGGGAAGAGCACAATGATAATATCAACATGGGCCAGTTGTGGAGGTGACGTCCTCCACAACTAGACAGAAGAACAAAAGGACAGCAACTTGTCTGCTCCCCTCCCTCAATTCCCCAATAAAATCTTTTTTAAAAAACCAAAAAACAGATATATATACACATTGCTTCATGATATTCAGCATAAAAACAAAACTGCTGTAGATTCAATTGCTGTGTGCTCTGTAACCTCTGCCACAAATGAGCACCGCATTGTGTATGTGTCTCAAATAGCAGCACATTCACAACAAGAGAGTTGGGGTGACCCATGTCCACGTCAGGACAGAATGGACTCCAGGCCCCTGTCCTTCCCCAGCCCAGAGGTGACTCTCCCTCTACTCCCTCATGCCCTGGGCCCACCCCGCAGAGACTGCGTGGTGACTCTGGGACTATTCAGCTGCCTCTCGACAGCCTCACCTTCTTTCAGTGCATCTGCCTCATTCTTAGCGCCTACTGTAATTCTAGGCACAGAGCAGATTTTCAAACAATGAAACTGATTGCAAAATAATGCATATATTATGGTAAATCAAACTGAATGTAAACAAAGTAAATGAAACAATACACACAATGATTAATTATCCCCAGCCTCTCTCTCTTTTACGTTCTCTCTCTGGTACTTGTGTATCATTAGTTGCAGAGTAGATGAGGTTTTATATGTTTTTACGTTTATTTTATGTCTCTCTTTTTCTTTTTTCCTTTTTTTCCTCCACTGTGTTTTAGCATCTTACGGAAAGAAATGGCAGTTGACCTCTTTCATCACCAGGCACCGCTGTCCCGAATGGTCACAACGGTAAAACCCTACAACCCCTTCAATAAGAAGGAAAAGGAAACTGTAAAACACTGAAGTGGCTGCCGTCTGCGTGAGACTTCCAAACCTCAGCACTGGGGAGGTGCCGTGCATGGCGTGCCGGGGGAATAAAAGAGCAGGTGTTCTGAGTATCCTTCAAGTCAGCTGAGGCCCGATGCTCCTCTCTGAGTGAGGCAGCGTGTCTTGGATCTCAGCCTTGGTCACACACTGGCCCTGGCCCTGGAATGCCACCATTCCATGATGGCTGCCAGGATTTTCTGGAAGCCACCAGCAGCAAGAGTTTTATTTGAGATTCCCCTTAGAGTTGGGATGCCAGGCCTACCTGGATGTCTCATGTCTTGACCAAGGTAATGCAGGTATTACAACCGTAGAGTGTACATCATAGAATATATGATCCCAGATCATTCAGTCAAACCCCACATGTTGTCAATGGGAAACCCCAGTGACAGAGAGAGAAAGTGGCACTGTTCCTTCCACACAGGGCACACATCACATGGGGGACAACATCTATGATAGAGAAAGATGAAACCTCCCTTGCCTGGCTCCAGGACTTTTCTTTCAGAGAGAGAAGTATCCCCCAGGCTCCATGAAGGTCACGAGGCAGGAATGGCTGCTCATGTTCACTTTAGGGTCAGCGTGTGGCCTGACGCTAGATCAAACAGAGCACCAGCTCCAGGACCGCGCACGTGTGTCTGTGGGCTGTGCGGATGCCCCTGGCCTCCTGGATGTAGTTATATTTGCACATGCATGTCTGTAGATCCTGCTAGAGTTTACAAAGCACTCTCCTCAGCCTGCAAACCCATAGCAGGCATTTCGCACATACCTTGTGATTCTATTGCTGACGCTAGGAGAAGGTCACACAACTAATAATTGGCAGAGTTAGAACTAGAATCCAGGCCCTGAATTTAGATATTGCACCTCCCACCTCCATTTATTCACAGACTGGATAACCTTCACTGACTCACTCAAAAGCAAAACCAACATAAACACACACACACAAAAACCTTCTGCTGTGTTTCTAGACTTTTCAGAAGTGTTTCTCGGGGTTTCTTCTTTTCCCAAGAAATTGAAAGTGAGAGAGATCCCACCGAACTCCAAATAAATGTGCGAATGCTTTTGGGGTAGGCTGGCCCTGCTCATCCCATAGAAAGGGAACAATCAGCTGTTTTGGTTTTGGGGTGCTGGTTGCCCGAGTTGACAACCTCACAGAGGCTTGCATGTTGACTCCTGAGACCCTCCCTGTGCACTGCCTTCTGCTAGGACACACAGGAAACATCGGTCCGTCCTGCACAGCTGACTCACGGTGCAGAAGAGGAGTTACTGCACCTGGACCCGATGGCGCGATCTAATGATTTTCAGACAGAACAATTCTGAGAGTAAGAGGGAGAGAGTGGGGGAGGGGGAGAGAGAGACAGACAGACAGAGACACTTCATCTCTGGGAGCGTCCCACCCAAACCCAGGTGGGAAGGATTAGCCCTGCCCAGGAAGTGGATGAATGCAGATACCTGAGGCTACATTTGTGGTAAACACACCACAGGCCACGCTGTCGCGGTGTTTCTGCTAAAAATCCGAGGCACTTGCTTATAATTCTGGGCCTTTCCATGGCAGGGTACCAGTAGCACCTGCCCTTAGCGTTCTGTGGGGGACAACTGCTTCCTTCCTCCTTAGTGCAGGTAACTGGGCACCTGTCTGAGCACAGCACCAGAGCTGCTTCTAGGAAGATGCTGGCTTGGCCCCCAGCATCTCTGGCCACATCTAGGACGGGGGACACAGCGGCTCTCCATTCTGCCGTGATGAGCTCAGGCTCCTCCCCTGTGAAGATAAAATGCCAGCCCTGCTCACCAGGGAGCTGGGACCCAAGGCCAACACAGAAACACCAGAGGTCCTGGAGCCTCTGACACTGGAACCAGGGTCCCACATCCAAAACCGTCGCTCCAGTCAGCTCCCTGAGCCGTTCTGTACACATCGAGGCGAGAACGCTGATTCTGGGGGTTTGCGCACCTGCTTTCCCCCTTTCCACACAGGCTCAGGGCCCCACTTTAAGAGCCTTGTACTACTATTAGGAGTTGCCCTTGCAGAAATCAATAGGCTGCAGATTGCATTAAAACCGTTTAGTGGGTCTCCCTTCAGGGTTTTGTGCAGAAAGTGGCTTGAGGAAGGAAGAACCCACGCTAGGACTTCCCAGGGAAAATTGTCTCACTGCCTCCTCCGGAGCGGAATGACCTCCGGCCCTGATGGTCCAGCCTGAAGCAGGTTGTCAGCAGGGAGAGGGGGAATCGCCCAGGAGCAGGAGTACCTTGATAATCCAGGTCTATTTCCTAATCAGTGAGAGTCTTCTAAAGCAAATCCACTTGTCCTGCTGAGTAGAGGGCAGACTAGATTATTTTCATCTCTGGGAACCACTGAGTTTTGCATTACGTTCTACAAACTGCTAAATATAAAAGCTGAAGAAGAAAATGCACAACAGCTACAATTAACTGAGGCCACTTAACTATGTTTCTTTGCAAAAGGTATTTCCAGGATTGATTTTTAAACTAATCTGCTTTGGGAGCAGGGTTTTCCCATCAGGATTCTCATTCAATGCCAGGAAGGCGTTCCGGCAACAAGCTTGGAAGTCAGAACCAGCTGAAGGGCCCAGGTCCCGGCTCCCACAGCGCCTACCTCACTGCTTCCAGCCACCCCAGGGAGACGGAGTCACCTACTAGAAATACAGAACTAGTGCTATGATTATAATTACCAACACAGACATAATGGGCGCCCTAATGATGCTGAGACTCTCATTACCCGAGATGACATATGAAGGCGACCCACACTTTTCGTTGTGCGGCCATCCCTTCAGCGAGCGCCCAGACACAGCAGCGTGTCTGATGCCTGGCGCTCAGGGGCCCGGGCTCCGCGCGCAGTATCCACGACAACAAGCAAACAGGTCGTTAAACACTGATTGTGCTAAGGAGGCTACAGCGGACAGCAACGCACAAAATCCCTGAACTCGGACCCGTACACAAATTAAATCTTTAGTGTAGTAAACGGAGCAATTTTTCTTCAGAAAACTGTGCTGCATTTTTAAAAACAGAAACATTTCCTAGTGGAAGGTAGCTGTGCCTCTGCATAGACACAGAAGCACACCTAAGGGCTAATTCAGTGGGGGGATTACACATCATTACCATGAGAGACCTTGCCTACCCAAATTAACGCTCTCCCTGACAACAGGAATTCTGTCGTGTTGGGTTTGGGAGCAAAGACCCGATCTGTACTGGGTATCTAGTGGGCACACAGTACATTTCTTAGAAACGCGCGCAAAAAGGCAAGTGCTCTTTGATCTGTGTGCCACGGTTTTCAGTGCTTTTTTTCTGACTCTGTTTCACAATCAATCCTTACGCATCCCATCCAAATGGGGCTCAGACGCTACGCCGGGCCTCTATTTGATGCACTTGCGTGGCTTTTGATCGTGGTTCGTTTTGAGCGCACTCACAGTTACTATCATCACAGCTGTCCCCATCTCACCCTGACATTGTTGAAATGAACACAAAATGTCACTCTCTCCCTGTTTGTCATACCTACTGGTTCTAGATACACAGGAAGAGGACTGACATCCTGTGTGCCACCCACCCCATGGGACTGTCACCCACAGAGCGTTTCCAGGGCAAACCCTACTGGTTCCACCATGTCAACTTAAATGAAACAGCTTTACTTCTTCGCATTCACACTTTGGACAGAGTGTCCAGAGAAGCCTATTTTTCCAGTGCTGGCAGCCCATTTCTGCTCCCTCTGAGGACAGAGTGGAGTCCTTTAAACACCCAAATAATTACCCAAGAGATAACATGGAACTTAAAGGTGTAGAAAGCGCTGCAGGACTTTGAAAGGTGAATCTGCATCATGTCTGCAAAATCATTAGAATCTGTCTGTCTGCCTATAATCATTCTACTTGAACTCTCCAAGTCTCCTTGACTTGCTGTTTTCTTTGGGAAAATTTCTGAATTTGCTCATCAAATGAGGGTCAGTGATATGCATTTTAGGTTATCAGTTTTCTTGATTTTGCTATTTAAAAAAATATGTGTCAACTGCCACCTAGTAAAGGTCACAGAAATATTAATATACGTCTAGAACCAGAGACCCAAGAGGCTCAGCTTGCAGCATGAGCTCAAGTGCGGTGATGCAAATTGCAGAAAACCAGTGGCCTGTGTCTCTCCAAGGAGTATTTAATAATGAATTTACCAATTCAGAAATAAAGGAACCTTTCTGAAGTCAGGCTTGTACACAACGCAGTGATGTACACACGGGGACTGGGGACTTTCAAAGAGACCATCTGAGGACAGCAGGGGACAGTGTGATGCCCACACACCCCAGAGGGGCAGGGGCAGGGATGGCCTGAATGACCTGGACCTCACCGAAGACTCTGGGGGAGCAGAGCTTCCTGATGGCGTGAAGACCCTACAGGTGGGGTCGGGCAACCTCCTCCCTCTGTTCCTGAGGGACCGTTTGGTAGAAAATGCCCCCCACATCTGACTCCTTGCAGCAGACGCAGATGGGGCTCCCTGTCAGCCGAGGACATCAACCGCTGCCTGTGTGGGCTGCTCTGGTCTTCTGTGCAGAGAACTCAGCTGCTGGCCCTCAGAACATTGGAGGTGGCCCCCTGCCCCTGCATTGGATCAGGCATCTGTAAAGGCCGATGCAGGAGGCTCTGCAGCCATCTTCCCACAGCCTCGTGGTGGGCTCCCAGCCCTGGCGTGTCTCCCAGGCACAGGGACCTTTGCAAAACCTTTATCCTCTTCTGCTGAAAAGGTGAGGTTAGCCAAGGCGGGGAGTGATGTTGTTTGTGTTGGCTGTGGTTTGTCACAGTTCCTTTGAATTCTTTATGGTTTGTCCCTGAGGAGTCTCGAGCTGCCGTTCTTCAGAAAGCATCAGCCCTCTCAGTCACAGCAACAACACCCTCCCTCTCTCTCAGGCCACCGAGAGGGAACCCTTCCCATCAAAGCACCTCTTGTGAGTTAGTCGCTGGAGTTCACACCCACTTCCTGCCTGAGGGGAAAGTGGGGGGGTTCTGAAGTGGAGGGGGGCAGGGAGGAGCAGGAGGACAGAGGGGAGAAACCATTCTGTTTGTGGATCAACCCTCATTCCCAACTGCACCCCTCCTGAGGCCTGGACTGAATGGGGGGTCCAGGGGCTCGCTTACTGTTGGTCAAACTTTCTCCTAACTCCTAACGCTTATTTTCCAATTCTCTGATTTTTCTAAATTCCCTTGGAGACCCCTTCCCTCGGAAGGGACCCTGCTCCCCTCTAGGCCTCCCGCTGGGAGCCACCTGGCCGGCCTGCATCTCAGTCAGCGTCCCTCCCTCCGAGCAGGCGGGGACGCCATACAGACTGGATTTGGGGCAACGAATGTCTGGCCTCAATGCTCATCTTTCTCACTGGAAATGCCGGGTGTTGAGGGTGTTAAAGGAGAGAACATACCTCATTCCTGGCACCATAGGGACCATCAGTAGGTATTAACAATTGTTATTATTATTAAAATGAACAGTCCTCTGAAGCAGACCCTGGCACCCTTCTTGGGCTCTGTGGACTGTCCATGTAACCGACAGCCCTTCCCCCACCCTCCGCCCAGCACCTGGGGTCCCTCA